TGCAGTGTAATATACACAGACACCACATCAGCAGCGCCGCTGGTCGCCATGTCTCAGCGCTTTCATGAAGAGGACGCAACTTCACGCCCTTCGTGCATGCATGCGCATCCAGAACCGGGTTGGGTACTCGGTACCACCGGGACTTGGTACCGTGACGTTTACATTTTTTTAGTACCGACTTGGTACCGAAGTACCGAATATTTTGACAACACTAGTCCCTGGCAATAGCATTCCGTAGCTATGCCACACTCAATTTCGGCTACACTTGTTTTGTCCCACACGATTCTGCACTGCCTTAACACTAGTTTGATAGCAGTGTTAAGTGTTGCTGGTTTACCGGAGAAGCATTTAATGGCAGCTGTGCCATCCCACTGGGAATCAGAGGATGAGACCCTGGGGGATTGCTGCAGAAGCAGGAGGGGTATCTCGCGCTGTCAATAATGAGATTAATGATGTGACAGAGATGGAACGCTAAAGAATCGGACTGCTGTTAAACGGAATTAGTTGTCAAATTTGGAGACGGGATCAGAGAACATGAGATGACACAGCTTGATAATCCCTAAGAGGATGCAGGGTATCACTGCTGCCCTGTCATAACATTTGATGAGGGAACATTCCAGAAGTGTGAAATAAATACTATAGCAGTTGTCACACTTTGTGTATCTCCATTTCAGTTCCAGAGAACATGTTTGGACAAGTAGTGCAGCTTGAAAGTCTGTATTTCCTTTTCTTCCAGTCTTTCTTCCTTTCTCACCTTTTTTTAAACATATTTTTGGCGTTTCTAACTTTATTTGGAGAGAGAGAGAGAGAGTTGACAGTGAGAAAAAGAGAATGGGACAGGATCGAAAAGGACCACAAGCCAGGACTCGAACTCGGGTCAACCGAAGAACAACTTTGACTGTTACTTTCTCTTTTGTTCCATCCTACTTTTATTTCCTACCATCAATCCTTATTTCCTTCCCACATACTTGTCTACCTACCTACCTTAATTTCCTTATCTTTATCTTTCTTAATTCACTCCTTTCCTGTTCTTCCTTCATTTCTTTCCTCATTTTTTCCCCCTTAAACCTGTCTATCTATCCATCTTAAATGTCTTCCATCCTTTTCTTCGTTCCTTCCTTCCTTCTTACCTATATTACCTACCTTACTTTGCCTTGCATCCCTTCCCACATCTGGTAAAACTGAACTAGACTGCCACCTTAAAATCGGTGACTACCAAACCTCTAATTGGGTGTATGCAGATGTGCTTTTCCAAAAAATACAAAAATAATTTCCTGTTAACGTTAACATCACCACTCAGTTGTCCCAAGCAGCCCAACATAAAGTCCAGAGAGTAGACAGAAAAATAACATGGGAACCTGTCAGAAAAATGAGTGTGCATGTGACAGAGAGGGATAGATAAAGGTGTGAGCTTGCAGCGCTGAAGCCGAAGCGAGTTGAGTAAATAATCGGCCGTCTGAGGAGCCGCGGGTGCGGGGCCGGTGTGTCAGCAGGCGATGGATGAGTCCCCAGGCCTGATTGTAAAGCCCAGCAGGTTGTGTTGGTTGAGTGAGTCTGTGCCGAGTGGAGTCTCAATCTTCCCTCTAATAGGCCACTGACAGGCCTTTACCACACACATATACACACACTTGCGAGTACACACATCAATAAAGTGTCCTGACAGGGACCATAGCCTTAGCTTTGGTACCTAGCGTGCAGTTCTTGACTAAACTGGCCGCACACATGCTCTCAAAGACATGGGCGGCATCAATTTTGCGGCGCTATCATTAAACAATAGGTAAGGTGGAACAATACAGTGAAGTGCGTAGTAGGCCTATATGGCTGGCTGTGTAAGACACAAGCTCTCTGACAAGCCGTATTTGTCATCTGCCGGGACACAGGCAGGTCCAACATCGGTGGTACAGATGAGAGGTGTGTGAAAAAGTGACTTTGAGCCAGACAACTAATCTTGCAGCCTCACATACACGACCCCTTGACAGAGGCCCACACGTGTGTGTTTGCTCCCTCACTTATGCAGTCTGGTCATATACTCCACAGCTCAAGCACTCCTTCACATAAAGCGCACATACACACTAATACACGGTCCTCCAAATTACACACAGTTGTACTGTCGGACACATCCCTCTGCTGTGCTCTATTTTTAGGCCATATTGTGCAGAGATTTGATCATTGGTAAATGTTTGTCGAAGATGAATTCCCCGGCTGATACGGAAGTGTGTGTGCGTGTATGGGTTCGGTGATAAATGGAGAGGGGCACCCTGGAGTAGAAGACAGGGAAAAATAGGGGGAGGAAGGTTTTCTATTGGTACAGGAAATGTGAGTTTCTATTGTAACATTATGGAATGGCCATTATAAAGACCAGAGGAAGATTAACTGTTCAAATAACCAAGTAAAGGAATATTATCAAAAAAAATACATTTGTATTTGCTTTCCCTAATTCATATTGTCTTCTTTCCTGCCCATTCATCCTTACAATTCATTTCTTCCGGCCTATCTTTCTTTGTTTTAATTTTTTCCTACCTTCCGTTTCTTCCTTCAATTCCTATTCATTCATTCATTCATTTCTTTTAACATCCCTCCTTTCATGTCCTTTAATTTTTACTTCTTTACTTCCCTCCTTTCCTATCCCTTCTTTTTTCCTTCCTTCCTTCCTTCCTTCCTTCCTTCCTTCCTTCCTTCCTTCCTTCCTTCCTTCCTTCCTTCCTTCCTTCCTTCCTTCCTTCCTTCCTTCCTTCCTTCCTTCCTTCCTTCCTTCCTTCCTTCCTTCCTTCCTTCCTTCCTTCCTCCCTTCCCTCTACATAAGTTATCTTCCTTCCATCCCTTTTTGTATTCCTCTCCTTTCTTTCTTCCTTCATGCCTTTCCTCTATCTTTCCTTCCTTTCTTCTTTCATTCAAGAGTTCTTATTCTGAGACACATTAAAGGAGCACAACTGAGAATTTATGTTTAATTTAACTCTTGCTAAATCTAAATTAGTTTTAAAGTAAATACCATCTGTTAACAAATACAACCTTTTTGTAAGCAGTTGTAAATGATTAAATTAAAGTTTCATCCAAAGCCTTTCTGCTTTGTCTTTTTCCTCCACTAACCCTCTCTGATTTTCTTAAGATCTTTAAGTAATTCCATTCTCCCATTGGCTTGTCTAACATGCTAAATTGTAGCTGCTGGGAATAAATCTTTGGTGTTTTTACCTCTTGTATTCAGCGGCAAAGAGGGAAAGCTGCCATGCCGAGTCCATCTTTTACTCAGCCCCCATACATGCATGTCACTTCAACCCAGCCACTCATAAAGCAACATGATGGATAAATGAATACAGAAATAAATAAATAAAAGCCACACTTATTCTCTCCCGCACATCCTTTCCTCCGCCTCTCTGATGGATTTGTGAAATGATATAAGGAATAAGACTTAGAGGGAGGGAGAAAGAAAGGGTTGGGGTGGAGAGACGGATATGATTTATTAGGCTGATAAAAATTCAGCCTTTGTTATTCAGTCATTTTTCCATGTGCGGCTTATTAAGGAGCGCACCTGCCAGAGGAAGAGTTTGTGTGCGCCTGTGGGTGTATGTCTAAATGTGTGTGTCCCGTAGAGTAGGAAGACTCAGACCTCACAGAGCCAGTTTAGATGACACCCTCTGCGCCTCTGTCTGTGTTCAGTGCCGTATTTTTATGTATATTAATGGCTCCCTTTGCACCTAGCATTATCATGAAATTTCAGTGACCAAATCACATTTGGTGACACTTAACCCAGTGTTTCCCAAACTGTTTCTGCTGGGCCCACCTTTTGTAGAGAAATATGTTTTCAAGCCCCACACCTACATGCACCCACACTCTCATGACTTCAGACACTCTCAGACATGACCTTGCTTGCATAATTCTATAGGATTTATTTGAAACATTGTAATTAATACAGTACTACAACTTATCAACTTCATCAGGCTTATCTTTGTGATGTGATGTCTCTAAGTGGCGTCCTAGTTTGAAGCTAATACTTTGAAGCACAGCACACTGTGCCCTCTCTTCATGACCCACCATTGCACCGTTGAATTCGAGGGCAATATATGCCTCGTCATATTTTCTTGTCTGTTCACTGTGTCCCGAACACGACGGCCGTACTCTCTACTAGACGCAACAAAGCGAATGTTGCAAATCCATTTGTCCTTTGTGTCAGAACAGAAGTTGTGCAAAGTAACGGGGCATCAGTTTAGTGTCTTTGATTTGTCGTGTCTTGTCAAGTGTTGGACAGCATTACTGATTATAGTGGGGTCTATTTGCTTTTGTAGTGTCGTGTTGTTTAAAAGTAACATTACAACTTGTATCTGCACAAATAACCAAATAACCCAATCTTAGTCAATAATGTCTGGCATTACATTTGAGCTGAAACGGAGTGAATGAACACCAGTAAACTGAAGCGCTTTGCTAGCGGGTTAATAAACTTAACCAAACGCATCCTAATATGAGATTAATCCGATATATACAACATAAAAGTAATATTTAAAACTCACATATGCACAAAAGGACTTGAATGTGCACGTGAACTGAGCATGTTCTGAACGCACATTGTGGATGGGCTCTTCCCGTAATAACAATGCTGAAACACGGGCAACTAAAGCACAAATAATTTGCAACATTCAATTACAATAGTGTTCTCATTATAATGTTATGTAAATGGCAGATTGGCGCTGCACGTCTTGCACTTGTATTTTCATGATAAAAGTGAATCCAGGCAATTTTCACTTGCAAGTTATCCAGATACCAAACATGTTTATACTACATGTAGGTGTTAAAGCATCTGGTGATTAATGTGTGTGTGTGTGTGTGTGTGTGTGTGTAAAATGTAAAAAGTATCTATCTCTAACTGGAATTTGTGCAAACCACAGGCTGACTAACTAATGACTCAGTTATTGCTTATGCGAGCATCATTAAGTGATTAAGCATTATTGATCAGCGAAGTGACATGTCAACCATTAATTCCCTTCCATGATTTGTCTGTTCCTTTGCAGGCCCCACCTCTTCGCCAGTGCGAAGCCCGGCATCACATCGGGTCATCAAAACACGCTACAAGATCGACACACGCAGAGCGCATACAATCCAATCCTTCAGGGTCAAGAGAGTACATTCTGCCAGGTACGTGATTGGGTGCTTTTCTGGTGGAGGTGGAAATGATCAGTACTTGATCCACTTCCTGTTTGTCTCCTCTTCAACAGGGCTCATTTTAATGAGTTTATCCCATCATAAATTTTGCGTTTGCACTTGTGCGTGCATCCCACTCGCAATCTCAGTCCGGCACAACCAATTACCAGACTGATTAAAACCTCACTGTTGACATTCAATGTTTTTATCAGTGTCTCAGTGCCTAATAAAAGATTAAATAACCGCCTGGCCCTTAATAACGCCACACAGAACCATAACTAACTGCCTCATCACCGCTGATAATGACAGAGAGAAGGTGCCGCTCGTCATGGTAATCTATTACTGGAACCATAATATTACACCATAAAGATGTAATACGGGATGCTCATGTGTACATGTGGGTAGTCACTGAGACAGGCTTTTAATGGCCAATGGTGCCTTGAAATATTTTTTTATACATGTATAACATGTTTAGAACGAGAAACAACTGCAACGATCAAAGAGGTCCATCTAACACATTTTTACATAGAAAAACAATGGAGCGCAGTGGAATGCAAAAACCTGTTCTGTGTGAACAGAAGTTATATGAAAAGCTTTTCCTGTCAGAGCTGTGGCATAACAGTTTGCATACATGCCTTAGACTTGTTGATACAGTGGTGCTCATGAAAGAAGAAAACGTTCTGATTTAAATGACAAACTTTCTTTGTTTGCGAAAGAGAGTGTCTTGCTGCTGCACTATATGAGGTGAATGGTTCTCCAGTGTGGTTCCGTTCACACAGCACAGGTTTACTAGACTCTCTTTCAAAATTTGGTTGAGTCTTGAAAATTTGAGGGAGTCAATTTAATTATAGAATGCATTTGTTACTCTTTTTCATAATGAAAACTGATCTAACTAACAGTATTAGAAAACCTTGCATTAACGTTGCCATTGTGAAAAGGGTCTGACATGGCTGAAGTATATAGAGAATCTGAGTATGAGACTTTAAAGCAAAATTAAGAGAGCTTGGAAAGCTTCTAGATTGTGAATGCTTTATAGAAAGACAGAGAAGGAAGATGGGTCACTGCTGTGTCTGTATGGCATTAGCTTTTGTCTGATAGGAGGCCACTGAGAAATCCTATTCACTTAAGGGTGTAAATGAAGCACTCATGCGTATGGGTGTAAATTTTTTATTCCCTCTCTTATCTACAGAGTTAAAATGATCTTCATAAATCCCCCTGCTGTGTGGCCCTGGTTTAGCCATGTATAAAAAAAGAGACTGTGGATTATAGGTCTTATATGTTAAGAAGGGTGCCACATTAAACAAAATAACCTTCTCTTTTATCTCTCTTGCTCTCTTTTACTGTCTTTCTGGTCTGTTCTGCCTTAGTGAGGATTGCTTTACACTGCCTTACCAAAATCACTCTTTCTGAGTCCTTTTAAGCCGTACTCTGAATATCTGATTGGCTGCTTAAGCAGCTGTAACTTTGTGTTAATGAAAAGAAAGGAAGTTGGGAGAGCTGATCTGTTTATGTCCATGGGTTTTAAATCTAGTAATGTAGTGATCCCTGCTCATATCTTACGAGCTGATAATAGTTTCTTGAGGCCTTATGTGTTTGCTCTCATTTAGGTTGGACATGATTGCTCAGAGATAATAAAAACATTTTTTTTTTTTTTTTTTTAAATGGCAATAATCCTGCTAAGGAAACATACATGTGCCTGATTAAAGGATTAGTTCACTTTTAAAAAAACTTTTGCTGATAATTTACTCACCCCCATGTCATCCAAGATATCCATGTCTTTCTTTCTTCAGTCGAAAAGAAATTAAGGTTTTTGATGAAAACCTTCCAGGATTTTTCTCCATATAATGCACTTTGCTGGGCACCAAACGGTTCAAGGTCCAAAAGACAGTTTCAGTGCAAACTGCAAACTGTTCAAATGGCTTTAAACGACACTAGACAATGAATAAGGGTCTTATCAAGCGAAACGATCGCTCATTTAAAAAAGAAATAACAAAGTTTAAGTTTTATAAGCTCAAATGCTCGCCTTGCTCTGTTCTGTGTGACTCTCCTTGTTCGAACTCGTTCATCAAAATGAACAAATCTTTTTCCGAGTAAATTCGTTCATTTCGTTCGTTAAATTAACCAAAAAAAAGATTTGTTCATTTTGATGAACGAGTTCGAACAGGAGAGTCACGAACGTGCATCACAGAAAAGAGCAAGGCGAGCATTTGACATTATTGAACTTAAACTTTGTTATTTATTTTTGAAATGAGCGATCGTTTCGCTTGATAAGACCATTATTCATCGTCTGGAATCGTTTAAAGCCCTTTGAACAGTTTGCAGTTTGCACTGAAACTGTCTTTTGGACCTTGAACCGTTTGGTGCCCAGCAAAGTGCATTATATGGAGAAAAATCCTGGAATGTTTTCATCAAAAACCTTAATTTCTTTTCGACTGAAGAAAGAAAGACATGGACATCTTGGATGACATGGGGGTGAGTAAAATATCAGCAAAAGTTTTTTTTTAAAGTGAACTAATCCTTTAAGTAAAACTACGGGTACTGTATATGTAGTCATCACATGGCAGTTGAGAACATTTTGGCCGACAGACGTCTAACAGCTGGTCTTCAAATAGATGATTAACAGGTCTGCAGGTCAGACTCTCATCCGAGCTCATTATTGAAAAGATGCTGACATTTTGACCTCACACAAGTATTCAACACTGTTTCTGTATAGTTTGGATTTAGATATATTTCTTGTTGGTGTAATTGAATTTCTAGCTCTTTTCAGATTAATCTGTAATTCATTTGTGAGAAAACACTTTACATTACACTTCCTAAGAAACTAATGAATATTATACTGAATATTAAGTGTAGCCTAACTGCTTTGTGGAAAAGGCAACTAAAAAACTCATTGTAAAATAGTAAGTAGATTTTCCACGGTCCTCAATGAATGAGGCATTTATATAGCGCTTTCATATATAGCGCACTACTGTACACCCAAAGCGCTTTACAATCATATCAGGGAATCTCTCCTCAGCCACTACCAGTGTGCAGCATCCACTTGGATGATGCGACGGCAGCCACAGTACAACGGTGCCAGTACGCTCACCACACACCAGCTAATGGTGGAGAGGAGCGAGAGTGATAGAGCCAATTCAGTGGATGGGGATTATTAGGAGGCCATGATTGGCAAGGGCCAATGGGTGGAATTGCCATGGGATTTTTAATGACCACAGAGAGTCAGGACCTCGGTTTTACGTCTCATCCGAAGGACAATATTAATTGAGAGACTACATTTGAACATAATTTTGCAGATCACTGAAATTTTGCTGCAAAAAATAATTTTCAAATGTTTGTAGTCTCTCTCTTAAAGGTGATTAAAAGTGGTAAAAAGACACTAACCAGAAAATTGCGACCAGTCACATAATTTTCAAAATACTGTACACGTTTTATATGTGTCCAAATTTTACACCAAAATCTAAAATGGTATTTTAGAAACTAAAATATTTTATAATTTGCAGCATGGGTAGTTTCAACTTTGTGTGCAGGTCATTGATGCTTCATTTATGTCATTTAGATTTGCTGGGGCAGTGCTCTTGGGATTTTAATGGGTAAACGAGTGTGTGTTTGTAGGGCTTCATTTGTGTAATGCAGATTTTGTGAGATGCGCGCTTTGCTTCAGACTGCCTTTGAGCTGAGGTGACTTACCGCCATTCATTTAGCTGCCTGCAATAAATATTGATTCATCAAGGGATTTTCAATTTGAACCTCTGTGACGCATTGTGAAATATTACAAGAGAGAGGGAAATGAGAAGGAGAGAGAGATAGCATGGGGGGTGAGAAGATAAGGGACGATTTTTAACGATCCATCTCTCTTTCTTTCATTCATTCATTGGTGATGCTTATTTTTAGAGTATGGCCATCTGCCACGTTCTTATTACATTTACACATTTGGCAGACATTACATATACGCTTTTATCCAAAGCGACTTACTGTGCATTCAAGTTGTTCAGTTTGCCAGTACATGCTCTCCCAGGGAATTGAACCTGTGATGCTGCTACACAACATGCTTTACTTAATGAAGAGAGACTCTTGGCGTTGTGGCTTTTTTTAGTTAACAAACACGCACACAGATGGCCGATCACAGTCCACCAACCCTGAGCTCAAGCAGGAGAAGAGCAGAGCCCCTCTCCGTCTCACACATGAGCAGACAGACGCGGGGCTCTTTAGCCCCTCACCCTTCCGTGCAGTGACCCGGCGTCCGGCGCAGCGAGCTGGAGAGCGGTGGGTGTGTGTAGTCAGCAGTGCGGCTGTGTCTGGTGATTGAGTGTTTGAGGGGACTGGGTGGGGGTGGAAAGGACCTCGTAAATCCCCGGCAGCCACCAGAAAATAGATATAATCTTAACATTAACTACATTAATAGTAGCTGGAGTTGAATTAAGAAAGCCGTAAAGCATGGACGCCTGGGCGTAAATTACATGAGTCTGTGTGCGCACACACACACACACACACATATGCACACACGCACGCATACAAACTGCCCTCCCCCATTACACACTCTCTGTTTTGTTCTTTCTTTTCTGGATTTTTGTCTTTCTCATTTTTCTTTTTTTGATTGTAAGTGTAGAGTTTGTTTTTCTCTTTGGATATGGCTCACCATACCACTTAAGATATAAGGGATGTATAGGGATGCATTATGACAAAAATCATAATTGTTGATTATTTCTCTTGCTATTTTAATAACATGACTTTGTATTTTATCCTTAATATTGCTATTAAAATTAATAATGACTCAAATCTTATCAATGGTAATATCCATATTTAAATGTATTAATAAAATTTACATTAAAATAAAATACTTGTGATATTAAGTGAAATTGTCATCACAAATATGAATTTTATATTATATTAATATTATTGATATCAATAATGATTAATGTAATATCAATTATCAGTATTATCAAATCATATTATATTATTGAAATCAATTAATATTTGTTTTATGTTTTTTAAAG